GCTTGTCACCTCCCCCCTTCTCTCTGGGCACCCATTGCTCCAAGGAGCATTTACAGTTTTCTGTGGAACAAACCTCAAGGCTCAGAGAGGTCAAAGCACCCCTTCCTGCTGCCACCCACATAAAATCACACTTGATCATAAATCCAAACTTGAGCGTGGCCTCCAGTGGTAGAAGGAGCACAGCTGTGCTCTGCTCAGTTCTTTCTGGGGCCGTGGCTTGAGAGGGAGCCCCAGTTCTGCCTGGCCCCCTCCCTTTCCCAGCTATTATCCAGGCACGCTGCATGGCACACACCACCAATAGTAGTTGAGTTGATCTTCTTTCATCATTCAGCATTGTCAACGTACATTTTGGGGTGTTTGAGGGGCCTGTGGTCCTTATTTTTAAAATGGTAATTAGCCCTAAAGATTTCCTGTGTCTCTAAGACTGTGCCCAACCTTGGGAAGTCCACCAGAATTGCATGCTGCAAGGGACAACAGCGAGATCTGCCCCTGAACACTTCAGGAATATGAGACTCAAAAATGACACTAATTGAGCAGTCACTATGTACCAGACACTGATCTAAATATTAAAGAAAGGTGTCTGAGACATGGCTCGTGGCTTTCTGTGTCTTGAGGAGTGACAGAGAGAGAGAGATTTATAGCAAATGTAAAAATAGGCATATTCAGTCAGATAGCTTTTTGCCAAAACCAATCTGGATGATTTTTTTTAAGTTTTAACCAATTGTTGTGACACCTTGTACATATATCAAGCAGGCTGTTAATCTCCATCCTGGCAGATATCTCACTGTCAAGGTCGTCTTTAGGACAGTCAAAATTGCCCATCATTTTCATGAGTGCATTGGTTCATCTTTTTATTATTTGCTGGAGTGAAGGGCAGTTCCTCTTCCTCAGCCATTCCGTGTCTGGGGACCAGAGGACATTTATCAGTTACAGAACCATACCCAGGGGGTTCTCTCTTCTCTTGGTGAAGGTAAGTGGGTTTATCCTGTCCTAGGGCAGATCTTTCTGCTGCACTATGTCCCCCCAATTTAGGGCAGCACTAAAGCTCTAGCACGGTCATACTTGACCTTCAGCAGCACCTACATCAAAGCCACAATGGTGCCAAGAAGTGCAGAGAGGCACTTATGCGGAGCCCATGCCAAGACCTGGGGCCGTTTTCTGTTTCTAGTGTGCACACGAAAAGCATGAACACACACTGTGCAGGCTGCAGCACTCAAAGCTTCTCCCATGTGCTCCACTGGAACATGAAGATTCTCAGGGCTATCTTAATTCTACAACTCTCTAAAGGACACAAAGCCTGCTCTCCAAAACTTATGACAAATCTATGGCCACTCATTAACAGCAAAAGTACTCCCTCTACGCAGTGAGAACAGCCACTCGGCAAACACGCACAAGGGACAAGCCAGCAAGCCGTGGGCTCATCCCACAGCCTGTGTACTTACACCCACATGCAATAACAGCAGAAGATGCTCCCC